AGCTGCCTGATCCAGCCATGCCTGAGTCTGCTGACCGTGAAGAAGCAGCAGTAGGACACACAGCTAAAAAAACAAAAGATCACTGGCAAGCTTCTTCCAGGAGAGAAGAAGCTTGCCTCCCACAGAGGGGGGCAATCGAAAATGGATTTTCTAGCTACCTGTTGTCAGTTTGTGTAGAGAGTGGTGCTGACCCTCTCAAATGGTGGCAGGAACATGAAGTTGCCTATCCAGCACTGAGCCTCCTGGCCAAGAAAGACCTTTGTGTGCCAGCAACTAGCTCCCCTTCTGAAAGGATTTTTAGTTGCTGTGGAAACATTGTAACCTGCCACAGGGCATCCTTGAAGCCTGATACTGTTGACAGATTAGGTTTCCTGGCACAAAATCTGTAAGCTGTGCAGTAGTTGGCCTTGCCAATTGTTTGTGTTCTTTCTATATTTTTATTGTTATTGAAGATTTGCACAAAGACCCACTGACCAAAGAATGGAATTTTGTTAATTTCGTTCAATCTGTTTACAGGTTTTGTGTTTTTTTGCACAAAGTACCAGGTGATTGTTCAGGAATACACACAAAGAAGCACTTTAGAAAACTTTACTTCAGTGTAAGCACTTTTTAAAGAGCAAGTTGCCCTTGTTATTTTTTTATCTGCATCTTTTTAGTTTACATTTTACATTTAGTTTACAATTTTTAGCTTTTTGTTATGCATGAAAAGAAAAAAATGAGCATTATTATTTAATAAATGCTGACAATTTATTTTTGACTATTTTTTCATGTACATCTACAGTTGTATGTTAATAAAAGTGCCTGTGTGACATCTGGGACAAGTACCTTTGACCAAGAACTCTCTTTTTGTTCTTACTTTATGGGATTAAAAAAATATCGAGATCTATATCTTATGTCGCCATCCAGCTAAAAAATATCGAGATATGAATTTTGGTGGCCCAGTCCTAATATACACCATGAACATTACAAAGTAGTCATGGATAACTTGATGAACGTTGAAAGAAACATCCATCTTCATTCTACGTGGGTCAATTTGTTTTTCCATATATCTGATGCAGACTTAAAGGATGCATCTGATGACATTTTATGGGAAGTTTTATGGAAGTCAGCAGCAGTGAGTGAAATGCACATTACATAACTGTTGTTACTTGAAGAGGCTGTAATCATGATGATGCAGTATATTTCAAGGCAAACAATTGTTTCACTTTTTATGCTCAGCAGAGAACATAAATTTGAATATGTCTGTGAAGGTTCTCAGTCATCCAGGTCATCGTAGTCAAAGGAGCTTGCAAAGAAAAGCGTCTGGACTTCTTTAAGTTGCTTGAAGACGTTTCACCT